AAAAAAAAAATGTTATAACTACTATTAATAATGAGCATTACATGTATAATATTTAATATTTAAATGTAAATTTATATAAAAATGAGTGTAAATTTCAAAATGAACATTATACTTTTGATATGTCTGCATCTCGTTGGCCAGTTAGTTATAGTACAAGGAATAGTCTCTGACACTACTTTAATAATCATAAAAAAGTGTAGCTCAATAATCAAATTATTTTATACTTTTAAATGTGAAAAATGTCATTTTACATTAACCAGTTAATTCAAAATAAGTACATAATTGTGTCTACTAATATATAAAAGTAAATTCTAACCAAAGGGAATGGACTTTGAAATCGAAATTGGCTACAACTGGTTTTTAGTTTATATGCAAAAAGAAAATAATGGTATGATTTGTTGTGAGATTATTATAAACAAGTATCTACCAGCATTTTGCCTTTCATCAATCTGAAATAAAAAATGTTATAAAATTAATAATTGACTGAAATATCTTAATTTATACTGGTTTTTAATTGACTAAAAAATAAGTATGTTTAATGTTTTAATGTTTTTTTATGTTTAGGTTTGTTTGTCAAGTTTTGATGCTCAATTACCTTTGAGTACCTAAATATCAATTGATAAAAATGGTTGCTGATAGTTGCCCAAACCCACAGAGTGTGGGGCGAGAATTTGTTCGTCAATATTACACTATGTTGAATCAATCACCTCATTACATGCATAGGTAATTATTAAAATAACATCTCATTGTTACTGAATATAGATAATATATGGATAACCATTTTTGTAAAAATAGTAGTGGATATATACAGATTTCAAAAATCCGAATTATTCAGATTTGTCAAATCCGGATTATTCAGCTCGATTTTGCTGTTCAATGATTCATTTTTACATGCTAATATTATAACTTAATTTTCGGAGGTACTTTTTGGTTATCATACCCCAACAATCGGCAAACCTACGTGGCGGCGGTCAGGATATAGGTACCAATTCCGTTATCGTAACCCATTATATTTATCTCAATATTGTCACGTTGCATTGCCAAAAATCAGTTCCCTGATCGACTATAGCTCGTTTCAACTACGATATGTTATGTTCAGTGTGCAATGAAGAAGAAAGTGTGATATGCTTTTTACAAGACCCCAGAGTGCTTCATCGTAATCGTACTTGTAAAAATTGTGACAATATGTTGATACGGTACGGGTCTAAGCCTCTGTGGCGATGCAACATTTCCAAGTGCAAGGGTACTACGGGTATTCGTACAAACGCTTGGTTATATAATTATTATAGACTGCCGTTTTTAAAAATAGTATTAGTAGGTATTATTCATATTTTATTATAATTTCTTTGTATTCATATTATTTCATTTTAAAATAAATTATATTTTTGGCAATGAAACGTGGCAATAATGAGATAAATATAATGGGGTGCAATGATGAAATCGATATATCCCGACCGCCGCCGCGGTCAGCCGGTCGACCATTGGGGTAGGTACAATAACCGAAAATTACCTTTTCGGACATAGGCATACCAAATTTATAACAMATTTTTAGTACCAATGAGATCATAAAACTTAAGTATTCATCTATTGTTTGTTAAATTTTCACTACATTAATATAAAATAATTTATTTTACCACACATTAAAAATAATTGTAAGTCTTAAGTCACATAAAAAGCAAATCCATAAAACTGGATAATTGGGAAAATTCGGATAAGAACTTGAATCAAATCCGGATTTGGATTTCCTGATATTTGGATCRTTCAGGTATTCGTATTTCATGCCCATCCCTATGTAAAAGTGATCTTAATTATGTGCACTTAAAATACAATAACAAATTTTAGTATGGGAAAAAATATTAACAAATTAACTGACATAAGTATTTGAATTCCTTGAATAGGTTAATAAGAAATTTCAAATTCCTAATAGGTACCTACTCAAATATTTATTTTTTTTCAAATTATTCTTATACCTAACATTTAAATTTTGTGCCTACCTGTATTAGGGCTGTGCGATTATTTTTAACGAAGGATAAATAATCGAATAACCGATTAACTGATTATTCAATTAATATTTGAATATAATCAAATATAATTGAATAACCAAGCATAACATTTCAAAACAAAAAAATAAATAGGTATTTCAGTTAAATATAACAAATAATATTAATATAATAATATATATCTTCCTAATGGCCTTGCTGCCGAGGGTTATCTATTTTTAAATTAACTATGAATAAGGACTATATAGCTAAACCAGTGTTTTAAATTTAAATATTATTTTATTTTAATATAACTTCAAGATTAAGACTGACCCTTAGGTAAACGGCAGTTCATATTTGTTGTATTAGTTTATTTTATGTTTTTATGAATAAATCGTTTAAACCAGACTATTTATTTGATTATTAAAATTAGTATATTATTATTATTATTAGAACACTATAATATATTGTGTAGTATAAGTATGTATATTTATATTGATATTTGTTTAGATTCTATAGTAGCGATTCATATTTTGTTCATGGCGGTTTGGAGCCATATAGCAGGGACATGACTCCCAGTATTGGCCAAAAAGAAATTCATAAACGTGTTCAAGAATTGAATTTTCGCGACTGCCATGCTAAGATCTTGCAAGTTGATTCACAAAACACTCTAGGAAATGGTGTGGTTGTCCATGTTACTGGTGAATTATCTAACTGTGGGCAACCAATGCGTCGTTTTGCACAAACGTTTGTATTGGCAGCACAGTCACCTAAGAAGTATTATGTTCATAATGACATTTTTCGTTATCAGGTATTCAATTATACAAATTATCAATAAATATTATGTTTGTTTATAAAATATTCTGGTATGTTCTAGGATGTGATGTTGAATGAAGATGATGTGAATGATGAAGTAGATTCTGGACAATCGGATGGTGAAGAAAACGGGGAAGTTGAACAATCGCCTGTTACTCAGCAACCTCAGCATCAAGTGAATTATTACAATACCACAACTCAAGGACAGGCTTTAAATGGGGTTGCTTTGAATGTGATACCCACTCCGGTACCAGTACAGCAGTTGCTGCCTGAGCAAATTCCAGTTCAAGTTCAACAACATATTGTAAATATTAAATCATACATTCATTCGAAGAAATAAAAACTAATTAAATTTATGTATTATAAAAATTGGGAATATTTAATTTAAATTTATTACTATTCAGATAAACAMAATATGTCCTTAATAGCACAAAAATGGGACTTGAAATATTATACATGAATTATTTGAATAAAAAGTCACCCATTTGTGACACTTGATTGCTAAATAACTCATACWTTTATATATCGTCTAGTAGTTATTTAAAAGTATTAAAATATATTTTAATWTTTTCTAGCCAACTGTTACTGCTCCGGTTCAAAATTTGGCTCCTACTGTATTACCCCCAAGTAATAATGTGTCTAGAACTCAACCTACATACAATCAAAATCAAATATTGACAGAACAACCTAAACTTCAACATCAAGAAGAACCTACAAATCATAATGTGGATATAAAAGAAAACCAAGAACCTATTAAGAAAGATACACCAATTACTGAAGGTATATTTAATTTGAAATCTAAATTCTAAAGTCTAAATATTTAAAATTCCTGTTATTTTTTTATATAAGTAATTATATTTTGATACCATATTAAGATATTAATTTTGTATGACAGGAGGTAATATTTATATTTTATTAGTCTTACATTTTTTATAATTATTATTCATAATAATTTGACTCAAGAATTAATTAAAGTTAAATAAAATTAAAAGAAATTGTCTGAGTTCAAAAGTTAAAATACTGTATAAATTCTGCTAAATTGTTAGTTCACTGAGTTTCTATTCAAGACTTTAAATTTACATCAAAAAATAATATTGAAATTGAAAGTCAATAAATTATAAATATATACAGTCTTAAAATTCTATTATTGATCAACCATAATTTACAGTTAACTATAATAATACTTGCACAATTAAATATAAATAGAATATGTCCATATTTGATTTATTAGTTGATGATAACTTCTAACCTTATGATAATTTCAAATCTATTATAACGGTATGATCTGACAGGTATCTTACTTATTTAAAAACTGGTTCCTCATCACTAAGCCAGAATTGCTGAAGCTGTGATGAGAACGAATGAGGTAAAAAGCATTCATTGAATTGTGGCATGTAAAAGACCTTGATTAATGAATCTATATCTTAAAACCAGATGTATGTTTGTAACTTATATACTCAAAAACTACAAGATTGGTTTTGGTCAAAACCTGAGATTATATTTAGAGATATCAAAATAGTTAAGAGAATTTTTGAAACTTCTAAATTATACTAAGTCTCAAATTCAATCTGTGACTAATTTATTTCACAAAGTTAGGTACACTGACACATTTGCCTGTGAACTAAGGTACTCATAAACCGGAGATACATCGCTGTACCCTATATTTGATCAATTTTTTTCTTRGACAAGGTTGATTTTTTTCAACTTGTATTAATATATGATTTTATAAAAATGTAAAATGTTTTAATAATTTTTAGCTGTTTCGCCTGGAGATCAACCAAAACCATTATATGCACAGCTCTTCAAGTCAAGTGGACGATCAACAGAGACTCATACTGAAGCCCCTCAACCAGTTTCTGTACAGTCACAAAATTACTCAACACCTTTACCTAAAGCAACTTCACCGGTATATTTTTGTTTTGATTTTGCACTTATATTTGATTTTCCACAATTTACTACATTMAATTTCTAATTAGGTGCGAAACAATGATTATTCAAGCAATACCTTTCCTAATAACCAGTATGAGCAGAGAGGCAATGCTAATAGAAATGTGAGGAACAACTATAATGGTAGAGGTGGTGGAGTTGGTGGTAGAAATTTAAATGATAGACCCAGCAGAAATTCTTTTAACAATCGCGAAAATGGTTTGTATTAGAATTTTTTGTATTTTTTATCATACATGTATTGTTTAAAGTTTCTAATTCTCATTTTATCTACGTCATATAAACTTATAACATGGCAAACCAATTTTGTGTTATTAGCTTTACTAAATTTTACTTACAACCACATAAGAATATTATTCAAGGCATAATTTTATAGACTTCTGATGATTAAATTTTAAGTATATAATATGGAGTGTGCAAAAATTGAAATATTTTACTCACTTATAATTTACTTAGAAATCAAAATATAAATTAATGCCTATGAGTTCCCTAAATTATATAATTAAGAAAATGTAACAGTTACCCGTGCGTAATATAGCAAATTTACGCTCAGCAGAACACTTGAAACTCCTTTAGTTTAAAAATTTCAGTGAATATAGTGACCTATTATGAAACTTGATGGTAAGAATATTATCTGTGTTTGTRCGTTTGTTATTTACGATATTTCAATTTTTAAGTGAGTTATGAGCATATAATAAACAGTACATTATAAATGCTAATAACTCACTTAAAAATTGAATTATCGTAAAAAATCAACAAACACAGATAATGTTCTCACCATCAAGTTTCATAATAGGTCGTTTCACTGTAATTTTTAAACTAAAGGATCTACAAGTGTTCTGTTGAGCGTAAATTTGGTATATTATGCACTGGTAAGACGGAGACAACAAATACCACTGTTACGTATTCTTAATTATAAGTTTGATAATGGCCAATTCACATTGAAAACTAACAATATAAAATTAATTCTTCCAATTTCAAATTTGGTATGTTATGTTTATGTTACTTATACGTTTTTAAGATAGATACATGTCACATTGATTCGGCATCTTTTTAACATTTGTATTATGACTGCTAATTATATTTAGGATACAACAATGGTCCTGGTAACGACCCAAGGATTAACAGAGGTAACCAATCAGGGTCTTACAATGGTATGTTCCAGTCTGATGAACAACAATTATTTATTGGTAAAATCCCTCCAGAAGTTCAAGAAAGTGACTTACGTGTATGTACATCTACTTAATTATAATTCATTGATATTATGTTTTAATAATAATAATAWTAATAATTTTAGAACTTATTTGAAAAATTTGGTAATTTATTGGATGTGCGAATAATGAAGGGAGGCAGCAAAACTGGTGATCCATCTATGAATGGCAACTTTGGTTTTGTCATTTTTGAAAGTATAGATACGGCACATAAAGTATTAAAGAGTCGAGTAAGTTTTAAAAGTTTGTTAGTTATAAAAATTAATACAATTGCCAATAAAATTGTAATATTTCCCTATAGTCATAAAATTTTAAGCACTTTCTTGAAAATACATTTTTAAAGGTATCACTGTTTACATGACTATTATTATGGATACATTCTACATTTATGTAAAATGTTTTTATTATGCTTGTAATTATTTTAACCTTTTTACTGCTATACTATTTATGCTCTGCAACCTGGTGTGTAATGTGTATACTACGCAAAACAAAATATTTGAAATTTTGAATATGTAYTATACTTTTTAGCATAGGCGGAACTAGACATTTTAACTAGACTGGGCCACTCTCGAGAGTCGAGARTCATTTTGCACTTAGAATACTCAAAGGAAATAAGAGTGGAGGGCGATAGGGAATATTAATGTTTTTTATTACAATATAAATGTATAACATGAGTATTTATTGATGTTATTTAAAACTAAATTATATCACTTATAATTTAAACTTAAATAGTTAAATTTTAAATTTAA